CACATCAAAATACATAATAAATAGCACATTTTATCTCTGAAGCAGACAACTTCTCAAAAATTGTAGACCAGTGTAATAGTCAAAGACCAATCTCATTATACCATCCCGTCCATAAGCTTACCCAGCTTAGTCTTGAAGCCAGATGTCTTTTGCCCCCACTATTCCCCTTGGAAGGCTGTTCCAGAACTTCGCTCCTCTGATGGTTAGAAACCTTCGTCTAATTTCAAGTCTAAACTTCCTGATGGCCAGTTTACATCCATTTGTTCTTGTGTTCACGTTGGTACTGAGCTTAAATAATTCCTCTCCCTCTCTAGTATTTATTCCTCTGATATATTTGTAGAGAGCAATCATATCTCCCCTCAGCCTTCTTTTGGTTAGGCTAAACAAGCCAAGCTCTTTGAGTCTCCTTTCATAAGACAGGTTTTCCATTCCTCGGATCATCCTAGTAGACCTTCTCTGTACCTGTTCCAGTTTGAATTCATCCTTCTTAAACATGGGAGACCAGAACTGCACACAGTATTCCAGATGAGGTCTCACCAGTGCCTTGTATAACAGTACTAACACCTCCTTATCTCTACTGGAAATACCTCACCTGATGCATCCCAAGTCTGCATTAGCTTTTTTCACGACCATATCACATTGGCGGCTCATAGTCATCTCGTGATCAACCAATACTCTGAGGTCCTTCTCCTCCTCTGTTACTTCCAACTGATGCATCCCCAGCTTATAATAATAATTCTTGTTGTTAATCCTTAAATGCATGACCTTGCACTTTTCACTATTAAATTTCATCCTATTACTATTACTCCAGTTTACGAGGTCATCCAGATCTTCCTGTATGATATCCCGGTCCTTCTCTGTATTGGCAATACCTCCCAGGTTTGTGTCATCCGCAAACTTTATTAGCACATTCCCACTTTTTGTGCCAAGGTCAGTAATAAAAAGATTGGTCCCAAAACCGATCCCTGAGGAACTCCACTAGTAACCTCCCTCCAACCTGACAGTTCACCTTTCAGTACGACTCATTGTAATCTCCCCTTTAACCAGTTCCTTATCCACCTTTCAATTTTCATATTGATCCCCATCTTTTCCAATTTAGCTAATAATTCCCCATGTGGAACCGTATCCAATGCCTTACTGAAACGGAGGTAAATTAGATCCACTGTGTTTTCTTTGTCTAAAAAATCTGTTACCTTCTCAAAGAAGGAGATCAGTTTGGTTTGTCACAATCTACCTTTTGTAAAACCATGTTGCCATTTGTCCCAATTACCATTGACCTCAATGTCCTTAACTACTTTCTCCAAAAAATTTTCCAAGACCTTGCATACTACAGATGTCAAACTAACAGGTCTGTAGTTGCTCGGGTCACTTTTTTTGCCTTTTTTTAAAGATAGGAACTATATTAGCAATTCTCCAGTCATACGGCACAACCCCTGAGTTTACAGATTCATTATCCTTAACCTCCACTCCATCCTCAGTGTTTAGCGGTCCCACTTCTTCATTCTTTGTTTTCTATTGGTTTTAATTCCCTTTGCAAGGTCCCACTCTACATCAGGCATCTCCACACGACTCACATCCTCACTGGGGCCGGAAGGCTCACTGTGAACACTTGTGTCTATGTATCTCATAAGAGCTTCTTCCTGCTTAGATAGAAAAGCTTTGTTTGCTTGCTTTCTTTTTCTGAATGCTGTCCCAGAGGGGCATTTTCTTCTTTCACTCATGACTGTTGTTCTGTGCCAGCTATAGTGGCTCTCAACACTCAATTGAAGGGGACAAATAAGCAGGTTGGTAGCAGGGCCTGAGTGAGGGAAGATATTGGCGTCCTAAGGGCCTAACTGGCTCCTACTACTTCAGTTGATTGCCTGTTCTCCTCAAGTGGGTTCAGGGAAGCAGTAGGAAACAGGAAGCTCCCTGAGAAGCTGGTGTTAATCAGTCCAGGCTCCTCTGAGTGCTAGAGAGGTACATAAGAGGCTCCTCCTCCTTTCTCTCCCTGCAGCTCCTGCTGCTTTCTGTTATTCCCTCTCACCTTTCCTCCTGCCTGCCTGTTATGTCTCTTCTTGTGCCCTCCTTCCTCCAGCACAGCACAGCACTCCAGCATCTCTGTGCATTTAGAGCAGAGAGAATACATATGCACCAGCAGCAGACCCAATTTTCTACACTCTGGGTCCTAGTGGCGCACCCCCCCACCCAAAGTCTGGCACCTGAGGCGGCCGCCTCAGTTCTCCTCATGGTAGGCCAGCCCTGTGAAGGGCTCTTGACTCTGGAGCTTACTTCCCTCTACTCCAGAGGAGCCCGAGTCTGCAGATCTTCACAGCATGTTGCAAAGCCTGTGTATGCTTTCACTGAGGGGATGGGGAGAGAGTTCTCAGTCCTGGTGGGTTGGGAGAGCTTTACCATTGAAAGTGCCCCTTTTTTAAACCCTGTGTGTCCCTTATGTATAGAATGTTGTATGTTTCATGCATCAAGAGCATGGATAGTTGCTTTTTTTATAAATCAAAAAGGTCAATCAGGTTTTAAAGATGGAAACAAATGCAGTGCTGAGATATGATAGCTGGAGGTATGCACTCATGTGAAGAGTCGAAGACTAAGCCTACGGGGCTGTCCTGCACCACGGCTTCCAGAGGGGAATTGCAGACAAAATATCAAGCATATAGGTATGGCTGACAGTGTTAAAAGCAGCAGAGAGATGAAGGAAGATGCTGCTAGAGGACAGCAGCAGAAAAGTCATGGGGATGGTGGATCACAAACCATGGAATGGCTAGCTGGTTGACAGCAGTGGGCAGTGTTAAAGCAGGGTGGTTAGAAAGTGGCAATTCAGATGGGGACAGATGAAAGAAGGGGCAATCTTTAGTGAAGATAAAGGCCAAATTATCAGTTGGTGGGAATGTCAACCTTGAGTTGAAGGAGGCTGAACAAGAAGGTGAGGTGGGAGGCCAACAAGCCAGACAGGTTGCCAACGTGGAAGTTGAAGTCACCAAAATAAATATCAGAGATTATATTAAGAGGGAGATGCAAATCAGAGGGGAAAGAGATTGGAGGGAGTCATACTGAGAGTAGATAACAGCAACATGGAGTGGGAAAGGAGAATAGAGTCTAATGGGGCTCCAATGAGAACAAATGGGAAGAGATAAGAGGGAGGAGTTGAAAGTGTCAGGAGGAGGAGAGGAAAAGCTTGACCCCCCCCCCACTATGATTCAGCTGGGGATGATTCATGGTAACAAGGGTTTGAGAAGCAGAGATCATGGTGTGAAAGCACAGACCATGACAGAGTGGGGGGATATAGGTTACTGTGTGTCCTAGGCAATGGAGAACGTGAGCGATGAAGGAGTCGTGGATAGTGGCCATCTCTTCAGAGATGGAACAAATGTTCCAAAAAGAGAATGGGGGAGACTGCCAAGGGGCAGAGGTGGGGTCTGCCAACAGAGGTGCCAGTGGGGCAGAGGTGGGGTCAGAGAAGGTACAGAAGGGGCAGGGAGGGAAGGAAGGTTGCAGTTGGGTGGTGTCACTGGATTTGTTAAAAACAAGAAGTACTGGAGTTAGTTTAAATGTATCAGTCCAGGTATTTCCCTGCTACATGGGCAGACTTCACACCTCAGTAACCCCCAGATGCTAAATGTCCTCTAGAGTTGTGAGTATCCCCTCAGGCTACATGAAGTCACATCATTGTACTGATATATAAATATGCAGAGACTACAGTAATCTGAAGGGGGTTTCTGTGTTAACCTCCACTGCAGTTGTAATCCAATCCCAGTCCTACAGCCAGGCCACTTGCACACTTTTTATTGGCCTGGCATGGAGAACAATCCAATGACCATGCATGAAAAGCTCCATACTGCTAGTGTTTATATGCAACACTGCCATCTACAGAATGGGATCATTATACCAGATGGCAGGTACCTGTGCTATTAGGACAGGAGGATCTACCGTTACTAGTACTGTGAAATCCCAAGGGTCCATGGTGTGCATTATAGTGGCAATTGGGAAGTCCTAGGTGGTCACAGATTTGTTTCAATATATTTTTATTAAGGAGTCCTTTTTTGTTTGTTTCAAATTAGGTATTCTGTATTTTATTTGGTATCTGATATTAACAACTTAATGTAATTTATTTAATTGCCTGATAATTAAAACCCTTGACTGACTAGATTCAGTTGACTCAATGAGCATTATTTCTATTTACCACCTTCACTGTCGCATTTAGCATCCATCTCATCCCCGTCCACCATTAGAGAGCCTTTTCCTCTGCAGCTTCTGCCTCTGGAACAGCATTTCTGCATCTCTCTGCTGTATCAATTCTCCATTTGATTTCAAGCCTCATTGCATCTTTCCTCACTTATCTGTGCCTCTTCACTTTTCAATAATAAATATCAAAGGGGAAGAACTCTGTAGAATACTTTAGGGATTCAATTTGTATGGAGGATGCTACTGTACTTAAAGCATCAATTACAGAATTCAGATCCACACTTCCCCACTGGTGTGTGGAGCTGGGGTTCCTGTCTCTAACTGTACCATATTTGAGAAGGCACTTTGCAGGCTGACTTGTTATCTCTTTCCTTGCAGCATGCCATTGATGCAGATAACGCAGGAGTCAGTCCCATAGGAAACTCTTCTAACAACAGCAGTCACTGGGACCTTGGAAGTGCCTTTTTCTTTGCTGGAACAGTCATCACAACCATAGGTATATTTATATTTTAAGGGAGATGGTGACATTGAGAAGTGGAGAATAAAATAAGTTTCATTAGAACTCAGACAGGCAAAGCAGCAGAACTGCACTTTTGGGGGTGCTTGACTGTATCATTATGTGGTGTATCTGACACTAAGCTGTGGGGTGCACATCAGGAATTACTTATATAATGAGAGGCCAAGAAAGCAAGACTGAACCAGAAAGCAAGTAGTACAGAAATTTTCACAGTTCTGTAACCCTGTTACTACTAGTACAGGTGGCCGCCTACTTGGCCATGGCTACGCAAGCCAATTCTGTCTCTAAAGGTCAAGCACAAGAGCCAGATACTTCACATGCAGCTGCAAGAAACCCTGCAGTGGTCACTAATGGAATAACTTTCCTACAAGGGTAATTTCTTCCTAACCACATCAGTCAGTGGTTGTCGTCATGCCCTGAAGCATGAGGGTTTATATCCCTCATAAAATTTTCAAAATAGCTATTTTAACCGGGGCTATACTCGGTGTCCATATAAATGTCTAATCCTTCTTAAAATCTAAGCTTTTGGCCTCAATGATACCTGGTGGCAATGAGTTCATCAAGTTAATTATGCATTGTGGAAAAAATAACTTTCTTTTACCAGATTTTAAATTGTTGTTAAATATCACTGAATGTAGCCTTTCACATAATTCAGGAACAAGACGAAATAGGAGTGCCAAATTTACCTTTTCTATGCCACTAATATTTGTATTAATCTGTCAGGTTCCCTCTTACTTGTATCCTCCTAAATAGCCCCAATCTATTTATGAATGAAATCTTTACCCCTCTAATGACTTTTGTCAGCTCTCTCTGTATTACTTCTTCTGAGGACACTCAATTGATGATCTTTGCCTTTACCAGTAGCTTATATTTCTCAATGACTGAGGTGTTACTCATATGGATTCATTTTTATATGAAAAAATATTTGGGAACGTCACAAATGGCATATTACATTTCATAGCCCTGATTTAGAAAAGTATTTAAACATATATTTAGGCTCTGACTTCAGTAGGATTAAGTACATGCTTAAAGTCAAGCATGTACTTAAGTGATCTTCCTGAAGAGGGATACTTTCCTGAATCAGGCTCTGTCGATTGCATCAATTAGGGTCTGGGTTATGAAAATCAGCACTAGGATTTATCAGTTAGAATGTTGAATCTAATCTGATTTGTTTCTTTATATCTTTAAATAATTCATTTGTAGGTGTGTGCTAATTTTCAGAGTAGTCAAGCAACAAACCACTATAATGAAAGGGTTTTAATGGAGACCCCAAAATAATCTTAACTGTAATGGTGCGGGTGTTACAATTATAATTCCTGTTTCCTCTCTTTAACGGTAACCATGCTTCCCAAATAGAGACATAATGGACACTGAAGTCATAGAGCACTATATAGAGGCACATGGAGAATTGGGGAAAAGGAGGTGTCTGTGCAAACTGCAGTGGCTGTAGGTGTTTCACTTGTTTGCACAGAGGCATTATTGTTCTTCCTCCCCTAGGGGGAATGCACTCACTGTCAGCCCTAGCTACACTTTTAGAAATGTCACAGCGTGTTCTCCTCTGCACACCCAACGCTCCTGGCACCTTCCATGGGCTAAGGGGACAAGTCCTTCCCTATGCTTTCCTGGCACTCCTCTCTAGATAGTCCAATATTTCTGCCAGGACTAGCCTTCCACAGCCCCCTTGCACTCTGGCTGTAGTAAGATTGTGGAAACCTTTGGGCAAGGGGCTTCCTGCACTTTACAGCAGTTGATAAGAGAGTTGCTCCCTGTAGAAAACTGTATCCTCAAGGACTCCTACACTGACAATGAAAACCTTATGTCTATGCAAGAATCTCAGACACTTGGATGGAGTTCTGAGGTTTGGAACCAGAACTGAAGCCCAAACCAAACTTGCCCAAAGATGTTCAGACTGAACAGAGAACAGGTAATTATGTGTTAATTAGCGCTTGTGCTCTGAGGCAGCTCTGTGAGTTACCTTAACAATGGGCAACATGAAGACATATAGGAGTCTTTATTACCACGTTAACAATGCTATTTAAATGTAAATAATCTCCAGAGGGAATTCTCAAAGAGCTGCTTGTGAGAGCCCATTAAAAATCATGAAAAATAAAACTTAGGCTTTTTTATTATTAAATTGAAAAGAGTGAATAAAAGGAGTCCTTGAAGCCTCATGTTAGCACAGCAGCCAGGACTGGAAATGGCAATTCGTACAATCTGCAATAAAGAGCCTATGTAATTCAGAGCTGAAAACCGGGAATGAGAATATTCAGGTGAGTCATCCTCCCATCAGGACACAATTGACAGAGTTCAAATGCTGCTGCTGCAGCAGCAGCATGGAAGAGATAGGCTAGGGCTCTAATCTAAAGGTTTCCTGTAGCTTATTGTGCAGCTGCCACGCTGAGTAAAAGTAGCCCAGTTACTCAAACAGCTTTAATTAGGAAGATGAGTTCAGAGAGAGATAGTAGTAGTAACTGAGGGTTACATGTGAATAACTAATGCTGGTTTCCAGTGGGCACCACTAAAAAGGCTGGACTGACTGACTTCTGTTCAACGGGCATAATGTGGTGGAGAGCATGTAAGGAACCTCCCTCTTCTTGCTCAGAAACCATCTGCAGACTGGGTGTGGCATATAGGCACCTGCACAAGAGGCCATGTCTGAATTGTGAAGTTATGATGATGATTTTTCTCTCCAGGGTATGGGAACATCGCCCCAAGCACTGAAGGAGGCAAAATTTTCTGCATTTTGTATGCCATCTTTGGGATTCCACTCTTTGGCTTCTTGCTGGCTGGAATTGGAGATCAACTAGGAACCATCTTTGGGAAAAGTATCACAAGAGTGGAGAAAGTTTTCCGAGTAAGATCATGGTTAAAAGTCTTTGCTGGTGTGGCCTGACTTGTTTAATCTCAAATACTATTAACATTACAGAGGATCTTAGAAAGTTTTGCATGTTGGGCACAAATATCTTTAATTGCATAGCTTGTTTGTGTGATCTACGTTTCCTGCATTGAAAATGAAGACAAAGTGATAGATTCTGTGGGACCAGGTATACAGAGTAACCCTCAGTTGCATCAGTACTGAAAACAAAGTTTTGGAAAGCCTGATTTCTGGGGTGAACTATATAGAACTCAGGGAGAGAGGCAGCTGAAAGGTATCTATGTAGAGAATAACAAACATACGGGGCCAGATCCACAGTTGCTATAAATTAGCATAGCTCCACTGACTGTGATGGAGCCTGCTGAGGATCTGGTCCATAGTTCTCCCCTTCTCTATGGCCTTTATCACATTTGGGTACTACTTATACATTTAATACCAATTTCTAATTATACAAAATGTTCTGAAGTTGAAGGGACCAAGTGCAATGACCCCCAACTTACTGTCCCTGATGTGGTTCATTCTGTTGAATTACATCCTCCATGGAAGTACATCAAACACTTCACCTGGGAGTGGTATCACAGCACTGGCTAATGCTGCTTTGCTAACATGGTGGTTTCACTTTAAGGATTCCCCTTTTAGATGCAGGACTTCCAGGAATGATGTGAGTATATCGTAGTTCCTTGGTATGTGGCATAACTGGAGGCAAGTCCTGTCTGGGGGACGGGGTAGATGGGGGTGGAAGGGGTTGTCCAGGCTGACTATTTTAATAAGCCTCCATCTCTAAAACATTCCCACAGATACAAGGCAAAATACTTGTAGCTGATTTTGGAACTAAAGTAATTGAGCATTAGACTGGCGTATGAGTAATTTCTCCGATTAAACTACCTGTAAAGAGTCCCAGTCCACACCTTAGGAATATCTTTTGGCCTTCATTTTCAAAAATGACTAGTGATTTTGGATGACTCAATTTTTACATGCCTGACTAGAGACAGCTTGAAAAGGCCTGATTTTCAGAAACTGCTGAGCATCCACTTTCTGAAAATCTGATCCCTTGAAGATGTCTCAAGTTGGGAACCCAAAAATCAAGGGACCCAAAATTGCTTGTCACTTTAGAAAATTTTGCCCCCCTCGGTCATATTTTCTATTGCATCCAATTTGCTCCCAAGAATGATTTGAAGTATTCCAATGTGGTTCTTCCAGGGAGAAAGCTTACCAGTGGGTAAGCTATGGATTTGGGAATCTGGAAACCTTGGCTTTATTCCCAGCTCTGCCATAGACTTGCAGGGTGACCTTGGACAGAATCCTTAAACTCTCAGTTTCTCTCTCTCTCTCTCTCTCTCTCTCTCTCTCTCTCTCTCTCTGTAAATATGATGATAATTATATGTACCCATCTTTTAGAATTACTTTGAGATCTAAAGCTGAATGGAATTGCCACTCCTGCCTTTGGAGTATTATTCTCACACCCCACCACAGTACCTTTTTTTTTCCTTTCCTTGATTTGATGCCTTTGTTCCTCGTTTCTCTCCCCAAACCATTCCCCCCGTTGGTATTTGCACCCTTCCAAAACCTTGCATTGCAGAGCTACACAGATTTAATCCTTATACTTTTTTCCTCAAATTCATCATTTCAACTGATTGATCATTTTTGTTACTTTTGTTGTGACGTCCTTCAAATTTGTCTACACCTGTGTGGTGCTGAGGTGGGACAGCTGAGTACAGTATTCTAGGTGGAGTTCTAGAGTTCCCAAACATCCCAATAACATCTAAACAGACTAGTCTGAGGAGTCACCTGACAGCAAAACTGACATTTCATGTTACCAGGCATTTTGAAGCTGTAGCCAAAAGGGTGGGCAGAATAGAGATGAGGGAGAATTTAGCTCAGCCTAGAAACTCTTAAGATATTTCCCCCCTCCTTAATGGCAAAGTAACTGTAGATCTCAAATGCTTAATTAACTTAGGGCTTGTATTCCTCCCAGTACACCCCTTGAGTAGATGGGCGGTGCACTGCAGAGCTCTGTTGGTGATGTGATCCTCTCAGCACTGTAGTTGTTACTGCAGTCTAGGGCTACAGTAGCCCTCTGCTCCTTCTGTTTACCATCCTCTGCAAAGAGAGGATGATGGAGCTGTGTATTCATGGATGCATTGGCTCCACCTCTCAGTGCTCCCTCAGCATCCCCCAGGTATCAGTGTGCTAGGATCCCCCGCTACAATTGTGCTCCAATGTGTGTGAGTGTGCATGGTTTCCCTGAATCCTGCTTTCATTCCCTGTGCAGTGGAACTGCACTGGTTCACCTGGATGTGGGTTGTTTTGTGGCTGTGTAGAGAGCTGGGGAGGGTGACAAGATTTACCTGCAGTGCAGAGTTCTTATCATTCAATTCCTTCTCTTACCACTCCTGTTGCTCATTGCAGCATTACCGTGAACAGCCATCCCACAGCATGTGGCAGGCAGTTCACCTTTGACATCCCAGAGCATATCTGGAAAGGTAAAAGGAGGCTTCCTTCCCGAGGAGTCACACTAGCACAGTTTGGTTGTCTGACAAGACCTGGGCATCCTCACAAAATCTCATTTAGATCTCAGCATAGATTAGAACCTGAACACCACATTTCCCTCACACACTAAACAGCCCATGTGCGCTGCACTCAGTCATTTCAAGAACAGTTCACACTACAGGCTGTGGGTGGAGGGAAGAAGAGAGCTGCTCTTATGGAATGTGCGCAATGCCCACGTTATTGACAGTGTTTCGGCAGAGGAGTTGGATGCGTGCCACTCTTCAGCTGGTATTTCAAGAGCAATTTTGGCACTACATCTGAACGTATAAATAGCCACCAAAACAGCCATTCATTTGCTTGCAATGTATAAACTTGTTGATTCCTCTTTAAGGGTCTTAATTATCCTTTAACAGCACATTCAGTTCGGGTTTGACAGGGAAGTCGCTGAAGGTTTAAAAAAAAAAGGGCTAAATTTTCCTCTGCTGTGTGGGTGCACTAGTGAGCAGGGGCCTATAGGGAGTCTCTTCTTCCCTATACAGGCAGCAGGGCAGGATCTCTCCTTAGTGCTGGAGAGCACTAGGTGGTGGAACCTGGCTGCTGGGCCATTCTCTGCAGCCTCAGGAGGTGTGGTCTGCTGGAAAAGGGCTGTGTCCAGGCCTACCACCCAACAGGTGTGTATGCTGTGGTCACTAGCATTCTTACGCAGGGTCACCTGCTGCTGCTTCAAACCAGTATTAAAATGCACCCTGTGTAATCACCCCCCAGGCCCATCTGAGGGAATCCTGGATAAATACGATTTCTAGTAATGAAGGTAATAACAATAATCACTTTTATCTGACAGTGCTTTCTAGGCACTTCAGAAACTAACTTTGAGTCAAGGTGGCCATAAGCTTAATAACACTCCTACATTCGTAAAGTATTCTGTGCACAGCCCAAGGTTGCTTCTGCAATAAACATCAGTGATTTAAGAATCCTTAGCATTAAAAACAAACCATTTTCTTTCAGTTTGTTCCTATATACACACAGACTATGAGCTACTAAAAGTAGAAGGAAAATTATTCCACAGTTTGCCTTCTACGGAATGTACCCTTTGCCATTATCATAAGGTTAATTTAGGGCAAACTAAATAGTTATCAAATTCAGATCTTTAAAGACAGTATAGAATCCAAGTTGAAAGAAGATCCGATGAGTATACTGGAGTAAACCTACTCTGTCTTAAAATTCAGTAAAAGAACATTAACATCCATGAGCTGTGTTATGCCTCTAAGGCAGTGGTTTCTCACTTTTTCCTTTTTCATTTGCGGACTTCTAAAAAATTTTGAATGGAGATGTGGACCCCTTTGGAAATCTATTGTCTGCGTAGTTGAATTCTATTCAGTCAGTTTTCAGTCTAAGTCTTTCACGGACCCTTTAGACATAGTCTGCGGACCCCCAGGCAACTGCAGCGTCGCAGACCACAGGTGAGTGGCATAGCACTGCATTAGGAGTGGTGCAGAGGTCCACTACCCCAGATTGAACTCTGGGACGTATTATGTGTAGGCAAACTGTTCCTTATTGAAATGGAGGGACTTAACAGATCTAATACATCTGTTATCTGTTCTTCAAGGTTTCAACTTTGATATGCCCTTTTGATCTTCCCTTATGAAGTCTGACATAGATACATGAGGTCTGGCCTTAAAGTTCTTTGAAAGTAGCATTCACTATTATTCTCTAAACAATAGTAGGTTTAACACAGAGTTGCTCAAACATCTTGTCTGCACTTCCATTGAACCCCATGAAAAGTACCTCCTAGTGACAAATAAGAAAAAATCATACTAAAAACCTGATGAACACCTTTCTTCTACTGTTTTCTAAACAGATAGCATTTACTTCACTTTCTGTGAACTTGTTTCTTCTTTGTCTTCCTGGATACATCAGATCTGTTCTCCTTGCTCCACTCTCCCTACCCCCACTGCCTCAGCTTCCCTGTCAGTAGAGATTTGTGGCCACTTTGAACTCATTTTCTATAGTATAACTCTTTAGTACTCTTTAGAGTAGAAAATGAGGTAAAAGTGATTGCTGGAGCAGACACTACTACAGGAAGGCAACTATTTCAGGGGTGAAGCAGTTTAAAACCACTGTTATTTCCCTCCTTTTAGTACCTCCCCTCTTCCCTCCACATTTGCCTTTTTATCTGTCTACTTGCTCTTTTTCATTCTCTCATTTGTTTCCTTCTCTCCCTGTTCTCTCCGTAACTCCCACTTTAAACTTGTAATATTATTTGAGAATCCGATCCCAGTGGAGTTCTTAAGCAAAGATTCATTTCAAATGAGACCTGCATCTTCCTCAGCACTGAGTATTATAGCCAGGCTGGGGGGAAGTGGTGGTTACCTTTGAAGTGTCCTGGTTGTCTCTTCTCTAGTAGTGTAATGTCAGGATCCAGAGACTCTGCTTGTTTCCCAGCAAGCAGGAATTACTCACTGCTTAGACCTCTGTCAGATCCAAACTTG